CAACATTTACACATTATGGAGAACTGACAGATCTTTTCGAAATAAGAACTGGTTGAGGAAATGCCCGATTTCAAATAAACTGGACCCATTTAAATACTGAATGGCCAGGAACAAGAGGAAATTATAAACTGGATAATGGCAGCTAGAAATCCATTCTTCCGGTTAACAAAACCTTTATGGAGACGTCGCAAAATGTAAGTCCACCTCTATATATATCGCGATTCGTTCAGTGCTATATGGCTGTGAGGCATGGCCTATGAGTGGAGGATATTATGAAATTATTTGCCTTTGGCCACTCAAGCCTAAGACACATTTTTTTAGGCTCACCAAGTGGATAAAATCTCACATGATCGCATCCACCTTCATTCAAATATCACTTGCTACCATGATAGTGCGTCGCTGGTTAGGGCATGTTCTCTACCCACCACAGGAGTTGACACATATTTCGTTACTTGCAAGTTTTGTGGTGTGTGGCGTCAAAGCGAGGCGGACCAATCAATCTAATCTAACTACCTTGTGGAATTCGAAACAAAAAACTTTCTGAACTTTGTATGGTTGAGCATCTTTTCATCTTTACCATCTTCACCATCAATGCTTGGTCGACCAATCGGTCCAGGTGGCCCAATTTGGCAAAAGCAATCAAGCACCATGTGCGTGCCTTAACAATAAACTAAGGTGTCAAGTGCAAAATTACTATAAATTACTGATAGCAATATATTTTTAAAAATAGCTAAGGCTAATGCACAAATTACATCGTTCGATCTGGTTCAAAATTTTTCCTGACTGTATCAGTCCCAGGTCTTGATTGGCTTATCTCGCCTTTGACATCATCTTTGTGATGGCATCATACAGATTTTGTCAACCATTTCTTGCTGTCATTATCCGGGTTACAATTTCATCCTTTGCCTGGCCATTTGGGACTAAGTGGACCCAGTGAAGGTATTTAAAATCGAGCACTCCCTCAACCGGATTTATGAAAATAAGTATTTTATCAAGTTCTTATGTATAAGAGGAAAGGACTTTCGTTATATTTACATTGGGTCCGATTGTTGACATATTGCAATATTGCAATGAAAATTGCCATATTCATTCCATGTATAATAAATTACGATATTCATTAAATTAATTCTTATTGACATCACTGACCATTTCTGGTTTGGCTGCATTGACTATTAGGACGACAATCGTCCATCAGAGAGTTTCTTGGTGGATAGAAACGCGGATGGATTGAAATGTTGATAAATTTTTCAATTTGCAGTAGCCAGGTTTACTATTTTCATGAAGTGAGCTCATTCGCCGCTTTTTTCTCTTTTCTTTTCATATTATCATTTTTTTTCTGTTTGTTACTTTTTTAATATTGCTTATAATTTTAGGAACACAGCAAGAATCATCATTACAAAAATTATTCGCAAAAAAAATGGATTGCAACTCAAGGATGACTTATTATTAGCGATTGAAAATATGGTAATAGAAAAATCTCAGTATTTTTTAGAAATTTTCTTGATTTTGAGGTCATTATTCCGTAAGTTCGTCATTCGACCTTCCCATTTTTTTATAAAAAAATCTCAATTCTTTTACTTAAGCAATATTAAAATACTTAAGGCACTTACGAGAACTGCAACCGAAACAGTACTACCTTGGCCGTAGAAGTACATAGAAATTCGAAGCCAACCTATCATAATGCATGGATTCCACTAAAAATACTGAAAGAACGAACACGAAATTTGTACAATCCACTATGATCACGTTGCAATATTGCATTATCAACCGTCGATTTCGTAAATATTACATGCTTTAACCAAATTGTTGATTTACAGTTGAACGATCTTCACTCATCTTTCTTCCTTAAGCATTTCTTTGCCCTTTGAATTGCTCAATAGCTAATTACCATCAGACAAAAGAGTAATAAAGTGATGCTAGGAGTACCATTTGGTTTTTTAATAATAGGTTTATTCCTGTCGGGCATAGGAAATTGACTCTCCACACGACAATTGCAGTAATTATCTCAGTTCCAACCTTATATTTTTTTAAAATATCATTTTGAAAAAAATATTATTCTCCACATGTAATATAATGTCTCTACAAATCACCGACTCAATATTTTCCAGAATCGTGCAAATCCATCAAAACAACGAAATGTCCATAAAACCCATAAATTATTTTCAATGAGATAGCCGAACCTATAACATATAGTCTATAAAATGAAAAGAAACAAATTAGATTATGAGAAGGAGAAGGATGCGAAAAAGATTATGCAAAAACTATTTCTAATTGAATTTCTTTATTTATGCTGTTCCATTTCTAGACTGATTCATTCGTACCACTTCATATATCTGTGGCGATATTTCCAAATTTAAGGATCGAGATTTGCTTTTTCTCCTTATAGAAAAATCAGATATATGATAAATTTATTTACTGATAACAGATATCAAGATATCATATCATGTTCTTTCCATCTTTTCTTTTACCCATGAAGCAAGTTTTTTAAGGATAGCTCTCTATAATACCACTGTAATTATAACGATTTGCAAAAATTTCTAACAAGAAAAGAAAAAAATGAAAAATTAAGTTCATAAATATGGAAAAACGAAATCCGAAGAATAAAGGAAAATATGAACAAAGAATTTTATTAAATAAAAATTAAGTGATCAAATAGCAACAGTTGAAACCTAAATGAGAAATATGAACCGACTATGAAAGTTTAACTCTGAATATTTGCATAAAATAAAATTTAGCCATCCACTTTTATAATATTTTGAATAAACGAGGTAAAACGGACAAATTATTGATATAAATATAGTGCATATAAATGGCTATAAAAAACTCAAATTTAACCGAAAATAAGATAAAATAAAAATGCAAGAATAATAATTATTAATGAAGGCCAGAAAAATCCATCGATTGCTGATCTGTAACATTATTACTGATAATTTTATTTCATAATAATATTTGAGATAATCATTACTTCTTTTCTTGCTTTATTATTCGTGATAATCATTTCAAATTATCCACTGAATTTATTTTTCTAAGATAATTTCACAGTTTATTGAGCCAAAAAATATATAAATGGACTAACCCCGATATTTCAGTTGAAATTTTTGATGCTTTTTTTCCTATTTCATCATAGCTATATTTGTGCTTTTCTTCCTTAAATAACTTTTTAAAATGAACAAAATTTTCGATCTATCCTACTGAACTCTTGACAGATGCCTTTGTCTTTCAATATTCTATATGTTTATACGTTTATACGTTTAAATTATATTATCATATTAAACTGTCATATTATTGTATTTAAAACTCAATGATCAAAATCCTTCACGATTTAACAAAAAATTTTTTTAAAATTACCAGCTAATTTGAACAAGCCAATTTTACGACAATATAGGATGTATACCAGAAAAAAATATTTCAATTCCAAATTCGATGTTATGGAAAAAATAAAAAAACAAACTAACAGAAATAATTTCGCCAATCAAATAGTTTTCTTTCATTTTACGCGCATCCGACGAATGTCCAACATCTTCAAATGCTTCTGTAGCATCTTTCCCTGATTGTTCCAAAAGCACTTCACAGCCACCTGGATGCTAAAAAAAATAGGTTTCTCTTAAATTACTAGAAGAAAAATATGCATAGACATCAAATTAGCGAAGAAAATGCTTAACGAGATCATTAGTTTGAGTATGATAGGCAATAATTCAAGAATGAACAGATCCAAATAGTCGAGGTAATTCTTCGAAAAGAATCGAGTCAAATAATCTTTCGTGACCCACCGTGATTCGATTAGGCGTTTTCATTCTAAAGCAAAAGTTTTTGCTTATCCTATCTTTGTACCTATATCCATTTGCTTCAGGCCACAGAATAAATCTGTTAATGCAAATATCTAAAATCAGCAGAGAGGAGAAGTGGTTCATTCGGTCGTAGTAATTGAAAATATTAAGATTTTCATGTATCTCTGAATCTTTAAACTTTGGCGCCTGATATAGGAGTGGGTTCATAAGTGCTTTCCTTTATAGATAGACAAATCGGTTTCGATCAATCGCTGCCTGCATGAATTAGGCCAAAGAACAGTTTGCGGAGCTATTCCAATAGACGTGGTCAAGGCCTTCCTAAACGTCACAGAAATGAATTGCTGCCAGGCCAAACGGTAAACCAAAAGGTTCTATTTTGAGTCATGGTATTCCAATTTGCTTTTCTGATTGCTATTCCTGAACTTGATATTCGATGTCGAATAAAGTCTACTTCTGGTGGTTCGAACTTCGAGACATTGATAGTAAGTCGTTGAACTGCATTCTTACACACTCGAATAATCCAAATGGTGCGGTAATGGCTATTTTAAGTATTTTAGCAGGTTCAGTAAGAATCGGCTGAAATGTACAAGTTAATTGCTATTTTGAGAAAATAATCCGTGTAGATTGCTGCTAAAACTCTGAATATGAGGCCAGAACACTTCGATACCATATGGAGAGGTGAGGGCCAATTGTTATGAAGAATCGGCTTAAATAAAGCATATTATTTTTAAATTAAGCATATATTGGAATTCTTGCTCTACTGCCATGAGTCGATTAAAAGCAATCTTCATGGTTTAGCTAATAAAAATGCTCCCTTAGTTTCAATAATGAGTTAAATTGTCTTTGACTGGAGTGTCTTCGAAGTGAAACTTGAGAACTGGAGGAAAATCGCTATTAACATTGAAACATTCACAAATAACATTCGTTGTTCGATGTCGTTAAGATGCGCCTTGGATATTAAGCGATAAGTTGCGACCAATTAAACGCTTTTTGTCCACTAAAGTGAACTGATGCAAGAAACCGATTCCGGTTATAAATTATAATTATAAATGCTTCATATTCGCAATTCGGTGGCGGGTTCTTATGATCTTTATCATACGCTGGCATGATTTCGACACCATAGTCCACTAGGAGGAGACGTGAGGTATTTTTAGCTTTGATGAAAACAGACGACATGGAGAGTGGAGACTAATCCCCATTAGATGCTGATCTTTTTACTTTTTTCTGTTTATAATTGTGTGGCGCCACACGATCTTACTTGGAACATAAACACAAACGAGATTACCTTTTTGAAGTGAAAACTGTTTAATCAGTTTAAGTTTTTGTTTTAGGGCATTAATTTCAGGTAAAGGAAGAGAAATAAAGAAGAAACAGATATTCCATTTGTTTCCAGAATTTTACGAGTTGAACAATTGCATCAAAGCGTGTTCTGGCAAAGCCACTATTGCCTGAATTCTTGTTGAAAAGAAAGTGTTGAAAGAACAATTGCGGCAATACAGCTTGCTCAAGGCTCGTTATCTTGTCATCAAGGAGTGTTTGCATACTATTAAGTTCTTCAGTGAGAAGTCTTTCTAAATGTCTCAGATTAAATAATGCGTTTTATAACAGCCTCTTTTAAAGTTTCCTTAGTTCTGAAAGCAAAAGAATGTCTTGAACTCTCATGCAATTGAGCAGTTATCTAGCCAAATTTAGAGGAAGATTGAGCTAAAAAATATAATCCCATGCGAGTAACTATAGTACTATACGTCAATTAGCGTTGAAAAAAAAATGAGCTCTGAAGATTTTTGCGAGTTTCTATTTTCGATTTAGTTGCGTCATTAAAAGGTGATTAACTGGAAAATAAAAACTCGAAATCCACTCACTTTATCCAGGTGATAGCTTGAATAGTTTATTTTACTTACCTCAGAAGATATTTGAGAAACAAATGAGTTGTAGATATCATCAATTAATTAGCAGGTGTTTTTAGTTTAATAGACAAATGAAAAACTTTATTAAAACCAATTTATTAACCACAATGAAGAGCGAACACGAATATTTCTAGAAGATTCCTACTAGTGGGAATAGTCATAATGGTAAACCTTACAACAACTGTATCACTACAGCCATATCAACTGACACAAAGAAATGATTATTAGAAGGCTTAGAAAGTTTTGGCAAGAACACAACTGGCGATGAATATAACCACCAAAAATTTCATGAATTTTATTAAGAATTTTGCTCATATCGAGGACAGAAGTCGAACTCTTTCCACTTAGCATGACAATTTTATTCATTATCCATTCCAATATCCAGTATATCGTCCGAGATTGATCCGGGATTGAATAACCAAATCTTCCACTTAAGACTAACATTTTCATCTTCTAATAACATTTCCAGTTTGCCTGATCTCACTGAACTACTAAGAAGGAGCTAATTCGCCAGGGAATTTGGAGAAAGAAGAGTTTAGTTCTCATCAATGCCACCATTCCACTTTCCATGACAAACTGCATTCAATCAAACATCGAACAAAGACCGAATCCACAAAGCATAAAGGTAATTTAATTCGATAATATTCGCAGCAAAAAGGCAAACAAACCTCATCCATGAATTTCGTAATATCGTATACTTTATTACCAATAACAAACCATGCACTTTTACCCGATGTATGCTCAGTAACTTCAGCTCGAGTTATCTGCCTTAATTCCAGTGAAGACAATGACATCTAAAATTTATTATGTTCTTAAGCTAGAAAAAAATTCTAGCGATTCGTCGGTTAACAGGAGAGATGAAATACGATGAAAACGAATTATCAAAGATTAATTCATGAGAAATAAAATAAAGAATCAAATTCAATAGCCAGCTAAAGCTAAGTACCTTCGGTTTACTCTAGCATGAGAATGAAAATTAGCTGGGAAGTTATAAGTCCCATCTTCCTCACTAATAAGTTGAGAGGGAAGGAATGTTGGATTCTTCTTCTTTAAAGAGTTAAGAGTCATGCATGAAGAAAACTGTAACTTTTATCACTGAACGTCACAACAGATAACGATCACTTCAAATAGAAAATGTCGAAAGAATGGCATTAATAGTAGCGAATGGTACGAAAAATGATAACAGATCTCTGAAATATTCCGCTCATCTGTCGACGACAAGTTAATTTTAAAATTTCGAAAGATTAAATTAATCAATAAAATTTAATAAAAAATGAATTAAAAAACAGAAAAGAAAAAAGAAATAAAAACAAATTTACCACAGAAAAATTTTGATGAAAATCAACCGGTTTATTGCGAAATTAATTTTGCAGTAAATAAAATTAACGGACGAAAAAAGCAAAAAAAAAAATTTTAAAATGGTTTTAAAATTATTTTTAAAACTGTATTCTTGAAAAAAATAAAAATAAATAAAAAGGTAAAACAATAAAATCAAAATTTAAAAATTGTTTTAAAAACTACTCTCTGACTGTTGCGTACGGTGAGAGAATATAGCAAGAGCCATACTTCTGGTGCAATTAGTGCACAGATGGAACCTCATTCATCCCATACAAAAATATAATTAGGCGGAGAACCATTAAATAGTTCAGTATTTTGCTTAGAATAATGATGAATTCAAGTGTAGCAGATATCCGACAAGGACAGTAAACTCATTCAAATTTAAACTGCCACCAAGGAGCATAATAGTCGAATGTCTGCCTCAAGTACCATGTCCGGTCTCTGTTGTTTACTACGGGACGATTACGGGGTACCATAGAAATTTTGCTGCCAATCCATCGATCCCAAGTGACACCTCCCTTAAAGATTAAAGTTTCACTTAAATATGTGCAACTGCCTCAGATCAACTGCCGCTGTAACAAGCGTAACCACGATGATTTGCAGTCTAGCTAAATTATGTATATATACTATATAGAGAGCTGTTAAACATATATTCAAAAATTTGCAGCTAAAAATTGCCAGAATTATTCGTTGCAGGACTCTTGCCGAAGTAATATATTTCTGTCATTGTAGCTTGGGATCTTTTTTAAATTTTGTTTTAATTTTTTTTATTTGTTATATAAAATGGAATATTTAATTTCATTTTTGGACGGGAAAAGTGGAAATTTCTTCATTCATTCTTCTTTTAATTAAAAACAAAGTTGAGTGAAATTTTGTAATAAAAATTAAAATAAATTTTTCTTTCTTATTCCAACTGTCATTTTATTTGGGTGACTTTATTAATTACTAGAATGCAGCTTTTTCGCCGGATTCGCTAAATATTATTTAAGCCGACCAACAACGATTTCATTTAATGTTCGTTTCATCGGTTGCGCTTAGAAGTTTACGGATGAGAACGGAGGATAAGAGAAAAGGAGAATGAAGAAATAGGCGGAGGGCGAAGCAAAAAGCAGAAGAATGCAGCGGTGCCTTTTGGGTTATTTTTAACTAAAAATGGCCGTCTGAAGCTCGGTTAGCTGATGAGAAATGTAAAATTTAATTGATGGTAATTTGAAGGAAAAAAGAAAGATCGGAGAATGGGCTCATCGAAATCGAAAAATCGTGGAGAGATTATAGCAAAATGTAAGGCACCTGGTTATTGCATAAAATGCGTTGGTAGCCGTCATATTCTTCTTGCCGGAGGTGGCGGTTCCGCAAAGACTGGAGTTGCTAACGAAATCGAGGTTTCTTTTTTTATTTTTCATATGAAAGGCCTTTCATTTTATTTATATTCGTTTTGAGCCCCATTCTCGCTTTATGCGAGAGATTATCGAAAATGTGATATGAAGGACGATAGACGACATTTGCAGAGTTCGGCCTGAAGACCACCTTCTCTAGGTGGCCTTAAGTTTCTGGATGACACAGATCGTTTCCTATTCTTCTGGTGATTTGCAGTTGCAATCACACGGCATGAGAAGCGATTCAGTTATGTGGCCAGTATTCATCTACAACCCCAGAGATATCGCCGATAAATTATTGAGATGCTTCAATAATTCAGTTCGAAATTCGCTTACTGTCCTCGAATTTTTTGTTGAGATAGTTGGAGGATCTTGGGAGACATTGGGAAATGCGTGCCAGTTTTTTGTGAATCTTGGTTTGAATTATAACATGGTATGGTCCATGAATTTTATCAGTTTTACCATCTTTATAGGTAAGAAAAAATCACAAAACGATAGTTATGACCAGGATATAATCGATCTGGTTGAAATGTTGGTTATTCTGGGAGTTTCACATGGCTAGATATTTTTTGTGATGCTGGAAATATATATTATATATATATATATAAGAAACCTCAGCATTACTAATTAAACCCGCTCTCCTGACTTATCGAATTGGAAAAACATGCCACAGAATCCCTTGGCGACAGAAGTAAAGGTGAGTCGACTACATATATATATATATATATATATATATTAATGAAGTTTATGCTTGTTATAAGAAATCGTTCTTCATTGGCGTACCCGATCTCGATGCCATATTTGCCAGTTATTGAGCATTGTTGTGAAATCATGACCTACACATATATTCCAGTCCCCTTGCATATTTTCATTGCAATCATCTGCGTATAAAGTGGGAGCATGCATATTGATGACCGAAATTTCGCCGAACTTTTCTTTGAAGTAAGTATAGGTCATTTACCGACCTTTACTCAACCATAGTAGATCGAGCTTTTTCAAACATAACAATCGTCATTTCGCCTTGAGACAATTGAAACATCACAGTAATACCATCGGTCATAGTTAGGTTTAGTAATTGCATCAGATATGAAGTGTGAAAGATGGATCTCCGACAAGCAAGCGACATCTATATTTAGAAAGAATTTAGCATTGATCGCTTGGCTTACGAAGTCCATAAGCATTCTGACGTTTCCAGCAGCTATGGCTCTTTGCTGCGCCTGCCTTTTCTCTTGACAAGTTTCAAGCAGCTGGCTCGATAGCACATCTTATTCTCAAATCTTGAGATCGTTTTATTACGGATTGGATACTTGTCGCATGTACTACTGGGCTGGGAATATCATGCGCGTCGGAGGATGCTTTATCAAAATTGAAAGAAGGAAAAAATTAAAGTGGAACGAATAAGAAAAATAATTTAATTTATTTAATTTAATCTATTTATTTTAATTCTGAGTTTTAAATTCTTTAAAAATTTAAAAGAATTTAACTTGTTTTAGAAAAATTTGACTAGAAATAGCGTTAAAAAAGTAGTAGAATAAGATTAAGAACGACGGCTCGGGAAATTTTCAAAAATTTTTTATAAATATTATTATTATTATAAATATTATAAATATTATTTTAATTATAAATATTTTTTAGACGATGTTGCTGTCTTATGATTCTTTTGAACAAGCAACGAATGATATTGCCTTGTCATTGAAAGCTCATCGAACGAATACAATTGATACAAGTCCTTATGCAACAATGAATATGGATGTTACATGTATTGGTGCACCTGTTTTAGGAAAATATATATTAGCGGCTGGGCATGATCAGGTATATCATTTTGAGTAGCGCAGTATTGCAATAAAGCAAAGATCATTTGCGATTTTGAAATTACAATTCTAAAAAATCAAAAATATGAGGAAATAGAGAATGGAGAAACTTTTCAAATTTCAATACCGAATATCCTATTTTCAGTATTGCGATTTTTATGAATCATCCGGATTTTCATCAGTAAGAATAGCTGAATCAGATCAAAAAAATTTTCTATCTCTAGACTTCAGGAAAATTGCTCGAATAACATCTGTCAAGAAGCCGAAAGAGTCATATCAAGTTAATATCCTTCCTTGTCTGTAGATAGTGAATTTTTGCTTGTTTAAGAAGATTAATCTTTTGATTTTGTTTTTTTATGATTTATTTTTTATCGATATTTTAATAGAAAATAGTTCGTTTTGATAAGAATGAGGAAATTTCACAAATAAATTCGAGGAAAGTGTTCACAGGTGGTGCTGACGGCATTGTACGAATTTGGAATCTCGATTCGATACGAAAATTGGTATATTTCTTATTGTTTAAAATTTCCATCACTTTTTTGTTTGGTACTTGCTAAATTGGTCATTTAATACTCAAGGTTTTTTGATGTCATGTCCTCTGATTTCTAATGCGATTGTTTAAACTGGTCTGATTTCATATTATAGTTTAGCATTTTAATATAACTATTAATATAGTCGATATTTAAAAAAGTAAAATTGAAGTTGCATATATTTTTATAGGGAAATAATGTGGATGGCGTACCTCTCTTGCAAATAGCTGCACATGAAGGAACTGTTGATGATTTAGATATTTCTGCAGATGGTAAAATTTTAATTAGCACTGGACATGATGCAAAAGTTTTTTTGTGGGATGTTATTGAAGGTCATAAATTATTGCAAGTGAATGCTCCAGAATCACTCAAGAGTCAGTTTCGGGTATTTCATTTTATTCTTTATTCTTCCAAAATTTAAAAATTTAATTAAATCGAAAATATGTGTATTTTAGCCACGTTCTGTTCGTTTTACACCGTTGGGATCAACAAATTTTATTTTTGTTATATCTTACAATCAGATTATACGATCATCAAAGTCGCAATCATTTCTGTCATTGTGGGCCTATAATCGCGATCGGAATACATGTAATTTAATTGTACTTAACGAAGCATGTAAGGAGGTTACTTTAAAAAGTTTTTATGTTTTTGATTGAATATGAATATTCTAATGTTTCTTAATAATTTGAGTAATATCGTGTTTTTTATAGTTCATATCTGCGATGGCTTTAAGTGAATGTGGAAATTATACTGCAATAGGGACTATCAGTGGTAGTGTTGGTATTTATGACACACATGAAATGAAAATTTTGTATTTTGCTCGAGAAGCCCATTCTATTTTCGTAACTGGTTGGTTTTTAAAATATTTCCCTTCCATTACGATTAAGTTCATTTTTTTTGCTAAGAACGCCTACCATTTCTGGTTGGGCTTACTGTGCTACAGACCAGATAAATTTTTCCAGGGAACCATTTGATTATGGATCATCCCTAGATTTTGCAAGACAAGTTTACTTTTGCTGGGAGTGGAATCCCTCCATCGTGTTCTGAAATGAGAGCAACGACTTACTGATATTCTACCCTCATTTATTTTATTGTATTGTATTATTGTAACAAAAAAAGGGGTTCGTTTGTCCTTTAACTTTCAACTTGTTATTCCTCTCCGTTAGATAAGGTATCGTAATCGTAACTCGATCATTGCCGCGAACCTCAAACTTGGGTAATTAAACTTTTATTTAGATAAAAATTTAGATATAATTACAACAAGGATATTAAATAACGATATATGTTAAATTATAATATAACCAAAAACCTAAACAAGTAACAACACAAAACACCAAACCAGTACCAATCGAGCAAGAAATACCTCAACTACGATCCCCCCACCGCTCACCTATGATTACAAATGAAACAACTGTTGCCCAAAAAGGAGAAGAATCGATACAAAATTGCGGCCTCAGCCACGCTTTTTCAATCGATTCTGCTCATTTTTGAGCACACTTTCGGTGGATCCTTTGTTAGCTAAATTCATTTCGTTCATCTTTGTCGACGTCGTCAGTTATCTCTAATGGAGCTATTAAGTTGATTGGTCGACTTGTTGTCCGGTTCTTAACCAATGTTAATGAAACCGATCGTATTTTGAATCGTAATTTCGGAATTTCGTCTTTGCCATAATTTCCAAAAATAGTCTAAACATTTTATGTCGATTGCCCAGTTCCGCAGTAAATCTTCTCTGCGTACATTCGAGTCAATTCGAGTTCCTTATGGATATCCTCAGCTTGAAGTATCCAAGGTGGTTGTTGTTGTAACAATATTTGTGTCTTTCGGGCACAAGACCTTCCTATTTCATATATTATAGTTCGAAAACTCTCATCTTCCATTGTTTGTTTTCCAATCACAGCTCTCAGCGTTGTTTTCATTATACCAATCAATCGTTCATATACACTCCCCCGCCCATGGAGCATATTTCGGTATGAAGTTCCATTCGATCTTTTCTTCGGCAATATCTGCTTGAATTTTCTTGTTTCCTGTGACAAAATAATATTGTCGGACAATATCGTTCTTGTTTTACTTCTTATAGCCATTAACTTTCGTAAAGCCAGTAAGAAACTTTCTGCAGAAATTCCAAATGGATCGCTCTTATCGCCATGCATGTGAATAGCTCTGTCCATCGTTTTACCTTTTTGTCTTCGTGTTTTACCCACAGAGGGCCTGCGAGGTCTGCTCCTATATGAATGAGTTCGATCCTTTGGGTATTTGCTTATATCGGGTAAAGCAAATGGTTTGGCTCTCATTCGCCTACTTTGCAAATACTTTTTGTGAATCGTCCTTTCATCCTTTGTAACCGTTTGGGGATCCAGTAGGTTTCAGTCAATTTACTGTACACCACTGTATCATTTGGAGCATGCAGTAAGTTGAGATGGGTTTCCATAATAATTAATTTCGTTAGAGGATTGTTTCGTGGCAGAAAAACAAGATTCCTATCGAATCTCTCCTTTCATTATCCATAAACCGTGCTCTAATACCAAGCCAAATTTCTTCAAATCCTTTGTTATGTGCTTTCATTTTGCACTTGCAGTATAAGCACTATTTCTGCGTGATGAATTTCTTGACTTGATATCGAACCATCTGATTTTACACCTTTGCTGCAGTTATATTTATTGTTTCCTTTCCTTATAAATCGAAGAACATGAATTTATCAGAATTTTTCTGAGTCGTTTGTATGAATTGAACCTAGTAAAATCAATAATAGATTGTTGTGTCTTATGCGAATTCTCTTGCATGACGATCGCTGCGTTTGTTTCGTTTGTATGTTGAAGACTGTTTATTTCTTCCTCTTCAATTTCTCGTACATTACGAGTCTTTTTAACTTATAATTGTAATGGCTAGTGTTGTTCGACTCGTGATAGCCATATAGGTCTATGCCAGCAGGTTTTGTTTCGCTGTAATTCGTCCAAGGAAGTGCCTCGTGTTGCTACATCAGCTGATGTAACATAGCAGAAGTTTGGCGTTATTTTTATTTCTTTCGTGCGATTATTTACGAATCGTAATTTTTGGTCCTCTTCCAGTAAAGTACCACTTGGCTATTCTAATAATTCTCACAATTTTATGTCCATTCCATATCTACTGCTTTTACTCCAATAATTTTGCTATAAATCCCTCGAGATAATTCAGATTCTACCAGCATCAATAGTGCTTCTGAATTAATGTCATGGTTTGCGGCTTCCAATTGCGATAATATCATCAATAATTGTCGTATTGCTTCAAAGTCATCTTTTACTTGATAGATATTCTTTAATCTACTAAATAAAAGATGATATCGATTTTCCCTTTGGCCATATAGCGCGTTTAATGCAATAGGGTAATTTTCATCGGTTACTGCATAAAGTGAAACAACCATTCTAGCTTTTCCTTTAAGTTGAACCAATAAATAACAGAACTTTTGTACATTCGGAATTTTTAGTTGGTCCAACATCATTTTAAATGATGAAATAAATTGTTCCCATTTATTGGGGTCTCTATTGAATTCGCACAAAGATATCGGTGCTAGATGAGATATCTCTGTTATCCTCTGGTTCCTCTGTAATTCCATTAAGTGGTTTTAGTCTTATTACGTCGTTTCTTCGCACTTTCCTGTTTCGACTCTAATTCTTTAATGTTGCTTGAATATGGTAAACTTGTTAAAATATTTCTTCTTAGTTAATCTCTTCCAATTTTTTTTGAACTGATTCTCCCTTAGTCGTTATATTCGACATTGTTATCCTAATTCATTCATCTTTTTAACAAATAAATCCAATTTTTTCTTCTGGGCTTGCATAATATCCCAGCCATCGACCCAAGTCGCTTCGTACGTTGTTGCACTTGAGAATGTAACGGTCTTTCAGTTTAATGACGCATTTTCTTTTTGTGCTTTTATCAACCATTTCGCTATATTCGCTTTTTCGTAATCAATAAAAGTGGAATAATAGAAAAATATATGATTAATCTAACGTAAATCATTCCCGTTTAATCGATACTTTCGATTCGTTTCAAATTTTGTCCTCGGCTCAGCCCCCATGTAACGAAAAAAGAAGTTCATTTGTCCTTTAACTTTCAAGTCGTTATACCCTTCCGTTAAAAAAGTTACTCGATCGTTGCCGCTTACCTCAAACTTGGGCAATTAAGCCTTTATTTAGATATAAATATAATTACAACAAGGGTATTAAATAACGATATATATTAAATTATAATATAACTAAAAACCTAAAAAAAGCAACAATACAAAACACCAAACCAGTACCAGTCGAGCACGAAATACTACAATCCCATCGCTGCTCACCTACGATTACAAATGAAACAATAAATTGTTTCCTAAAAAGAAGAATCGATATAAAATTGCGGCTTCAGCCACGCTTTTTCAATCGATTCTGCATTTATTTTTGAGCACAATTATATATATTTAAATTAAGATAATCTGTCTTTTTCACTATTATTTCTGATTTATTATTTATTTTGTTATAATAAAGTATAATTTTATAAGTTTTATAAGGTTTCAGATCTTGACTTTCTTCCTCGTCATGCTGTTGATTTCACTTTGCCAGATAATGGCCTTAGCGCTAATTGTGGAGTCGCATCAGAATATCGAGCAGCGATAGTGACTCTTAGTGCAGACCAAACAGTGCAATTTCATTCTCTCTCTTATACCCACACTTCATTTATTTCATTTCTTCCTATTCTTTCCATTTTTTCTGCATTAATTTATTATTTTTTTTGGTATACCTTGGTTGTTAATTAGTTGTTTCATTTTTTTCACTATATATAGCAGCAGAAAATTTTTTGATTGTAATAATTTTTAAAATTGAGAAATTTTAATACGTTTTAGCTCTTTCGCTTTATTCTCTCTCTTTCTTTTTCTCTACTGCTTCAATTGGTATACGAGTTATTCACCAGTGTTCATTTAGATTCTTATAATAACTGAATCTGGCGCTGATAAGACGAAAGTATCATTTTTTATTTTGGTTGTTTATTAGTGTAGTGCAAGCTAAAGGGAAACTTTTTGAAAAATAGTGAGTGTTTTTGTGATTTTTTTTCGTTTGTGGATTGTCATATTATTCCAATAACTCTCTTTGTGTCATCATGCCTGTGTTGTTGCTTATCTTAAAAGCGTTTCCAAAAGAAAATATGCGCTTTTCTGATGTGTATGTGTTCTGATGGCATTGATAGAATTATTTCTTGTGAGAATCAGCTAGTTCATTTCTAACACATTGACGCATCTTAATGTAGATTTTATCGTGTTTCGGAAGCAATTTTATTTGCTATCAATACTTATCGGTATTCCCCAGAGGTCATTGGTGTTCAGGTTATTGAGGTGTTGCAATAAATGGATTTGAAATACGCTCATTGTTCTTAATTTTTTAGATCGAAAGAGTTGAAATATTCTGGACGACGTTGCTTTATGAGTTTAATACATATCTTTGCGATCAGATGATCTATTTTCAATGGTCCACGATTATTTTCAGCGTCGCCACAGGAATAGTTGTCTAATGCAAATTCTTCCAGCAACAATGGACTAGAATATGTTCATTCTGGCGTGAATTTTGGTTATACGTTGCATTTACTCAGCAGAAGAGGCTCTATCCTCTGACACGCCAAACACTAGTTTTGTACTTATCCAAAATTAAATTGTTAATAAAAAGCCACGCTAAGCCACACTGGCTAAACCGTTTCGTTTCGAGTTTTCTCAAACACCATAATCATATGACCAATATCTTTGCTATGTTAAGTTGAGTAGTTGCTTGTAATTAAGGCATCGACAAAAAGCCTTGTTCACTATATCTTTGTATACTGTATAATATGAATAATTATATGAACAATAATGCCAGGATTCATAGATATTCATATTCATAGCGGCCAAGACCTCTTTCCGTTCGGAGAGATTGAAATTTTCTGTGGTATTCGGTGAACCTAGTCTCTTAATTTAGATTCGGCATCCGAATATATGGATATCGTTTATTATAAGCCGCTTTTGTGTAGTTATATGAAAATAGTGATGGTTTGACAGCGATCCGGATTTTAGTTTTTGAGATTTGCTCTTCAAGTTTACTACTTTTAACAGGATAGTTATATTTTCATAATCAGAGAATTATGAAGTTTTATTATCATGAAACTGAAAATGGTAATTAAGAAAAATTGTTCAAGTAGAATAGAAAGGGAGAAATTTTGGATGAGATAGTAAATTCGTTTGCTAATCATTTCTACATATCTTTAGGTTTTTAAGAAAATTACACTTGAGATTTGAGATTCGCAGGTATTTTCGGAAAATTTTTCAGATCGCCATTTATTATTGCGATAGTAGCCAAATTTTAACGATTCCATGTAACTTTTGGAAAAGGGCTTTTGTACGTCTTCCATCTGGCAGCTATAAAGTGAAAATAATATGTTTAACGTAGCAAAAATGTCTGTTCGACTTCTTGAGCGTACAAAAGTACGCAAAAATATTAAGAAACCTTTCATCAGGGAAGAAGAATCAGGGAAGTTTAAAGTGTTGAGAGATTTTGGTGTGAATTTAAAGACATAGATTTTTTCACTTGGTATTTCTGGAAAAAAAGCCGCTTGTAATTTTCTCAAATTTTAATTTTAAATTTTAAGTTCAGAATTTTGTTGGGCTCGTTTTAGTCGAAGTTTTTACAATTTTATTGCTTTTGCTAGCTTTCATTATTAGTAATTTCTATGCTGTGTTTTCCGTTCCATTATTGAAGTTTTTGTCCAAATTATATTAATTTCCTTATCAATATAAATATTATATAAATAATGAATAAATATAAATAATGAATATTTTATACGTATCTGACTATGTCTTAGCCTAAGTCTTCATTATAAAAGCCTTCCCAACCCCATTTTAGCATCGTTTTAACGCTTCCGAAATTTCTTTTTAAAGGCCTTTGCATCCATATTTCCCTTTGTCATAATCCTGTAGATGCATTTCTGATGCATCTAACTGTTGTTGTAAACACCGTTCTGACCGTGACAATAAATCCTTTTGCTGCAGTTGGAGTTATGTGAAAAAAATTTTAAGCATATAAGAAAAATAAATTCAATAATCTTCAAATTTTATTGTCAAATAAAGAGTCCATCGATAAAGCAAAGGGAAAATGGATTGATATGTATAAAATTAATGTTAAAAAGTTGAAATATGTCAAAAGCTAGAAAATTTAAAATATTATTCCCCACTTGATTGTATATTGTCCCGTGTTTATCATAGTTTTTTTAACAGTTTTTGCAAATATTGGTGAAAGGTTAGAATTCACTATGATTTTAGCAATTAAGCTGGAATTTTTTACTAGAAAATTTTGCAAAGTGAACAATAGAAATGCAATGGATTGCTAGCAGTCCTCACTGGATTTTTCTTTTGGCCAGATTTTCTGGAGCAGAGTTCACATTTTTGCTCCTTAATATGGTAACCGAGGCTGGTATCCATTCAGCTAATCTCCGTACAAATATAAATGTTGCAAAGAAAATTCAGTGATGAAACTGAAAATGATGTATTTTTTAAGAATCTTTACTTTTAAATTTTTGAATTGATTTTAGTTTAAAGTCTAATTTTTGCTTTTTCAACGAGAAACTTGTCGAAGGCGTTTCATTTAAGAAGTAATGAATTTTTATATATCGTTCATGCAAAGATTTAGAATCAATTTTTTCAAAAAATGCTTCATTTAATAGAAGTCATAAAAATAGAGGGCAAGATTGGCCGAGTGGACAAAATGTTTCAAATTATCGTGTTGAGAGGGAAGGGTCCGACTACTACCTCCGGTAAAAATAAACATTATCAAAAAATCCGAGCACAAGTAGCTTCTCCAAAAATTTTAAAAATTTCTAATCCACTAATTAGCCAGTCGAAGTATACTAGCAAAAATAGCTGCTAACCGTTTATTTACTTACTTTTATTGAAAAATAAAGATCGAAAAATGATAAATAATAATTTCAAATATCTAATGCTATGCCAGTAATATTTTTTTTTTCAATAGTTCTATGCTTTTTGTGGATGAATTTTGCGAATGTTCAGAAGTTACTCTTTTAAGACGAATCATTCCTGAGTTGGCTGGCTGCATTGGCAAAAGTAAGGAGAACCATTTGTCAGAGACTTTGTACATAGAAATAGATCCATAGAACCGACTAAATTCTTGCCATTAATATGGAATAGACTATACCTGAACTTGAACCAATAATCTAATCAGCAATCCTATCTTTTGATTCTTTTGATTCTGTAAGCTCTCAACATTATTGGTTAGGCTGGCTCCACTGGCTATAAGGGTATTATGTCTCCAAGCTCTTCAGTCTGACGACAGTAATAGAAGCTATTCCTTTTTCCAATGACTAAGTCCTATGTATTGCTGGTCCACCTATACATTCAAAATCTTTTCTTACCGTATCAGTCCAGGTTCATTGGCCCTCCTCGCTTTTAATCCCAACGATCACAGGGTTCGGCAAGTAGCGAAATATGAACATCAACTCCTGTCGTGGACGACGGAAAACGTGCCCTAACCAGCGAAGGCGACATTCTGTGATAAAACAGGTGATATATGAGCGAAAATGGATTTTATCCGTTCGATGGAC